AGAACTGAGGTACAGGCCAGAGGTGCAGGGGCTGTGAGAGGCTTTAGCAAAGACAGAGTGGGGAGCAGAACAGACAGATCAACAAGGTAGACTGCTGAGGGGAGCAGCAGGTGGGTCAGGAGAGGTCTGCCGCACCATGTGGTCACCTCCGGGGCAGGCGGGGATCGATCTCATGCTGAAGTGGCTTTAGCTTCTTAGTTCTTTAACTCGCTGTGCCACCAGGTAGGGCCCTGTTTAATTAACTTCTAAAGAGCTAGTTCATGAATGCTACTGAGCCTCCAGACCCCTCAGGTCAGCTGGTGAAGCTCTCAGATGGCGCAAATTCCATGCCCTAAGTCTCAAGGCCCTCATACCCTGTCAGAAACCTCAGTCCAACCCATATTATCCCAAAACACTCAGGTGAACAGTTGTACCTCTCCCCTGGGAGCCTCAGGTCAGCCCAGATAACCCCCTTCTCCAGCTGCCCTATCACCTTTCCCCAATTGCAGGAGGAGCACAGAGTTTCAGGACCACGGGTGAGGTGGGAGGTGGGGGAAAGCACCTGCATCTCCAACATGTTTCCAGGTGACCGTGCTGGTTCAATCACCACAATCTCGCCAGGTGATGTGTGTTGCTGTTGGGGAGACAGTGTCAGACATAAAAGCTGTCCTCCAGTGGACTTTCCTGCTGTCGTGTTGCTCTTATGGGAGGGACATTGATGTTCTGCGTGAATAGATAGTGAACAAGAACAAGGGCACTGTGGCAGGCGCCAGGACTCTCTTCCAGAGCCTTGGGCTGGAGCAAGCAGCATCTCTTCTTCTTCCTAGAGCCAGTCTTGCAGGAGTGGGAGGAGTTGTGCGGTCACAGGGTGTTAGCTAGTTCTGGGTTGTTGATTTTGTTCAGGGTTAGTGTTGGTTGGGGAAGATTAGGGTAAAGTGTTGATTAAGGCTTAGAAGAGAGAGTTGGCATTCTTTCTTCTTTTTATTTTTTTGGTGATGCAACAGGAGTTAATTAAAATAGGTTTGAAAGGGAGAATGGAGTGGGATGGGTTGTGAATGCATTGATGGAAAAATTTAAAAGGAGATTAAATTTGGCCTTGTCCTGGTTTGGCTGAGGCCCAAAGACAGTAGAGCGAAACCCCTTTATACTCCAGAGAAGGATCCAGGCGTGAAAGTGTTGGTTTGACACAACGAAGCCACCTGACCCAGGCTGTCAGAATCAAATCCAGTGATACCTCTTCAGTTCATCCTGATGCAGCTGGACTCTGGGGCACTAGGAGACCCCTTTAGTTCACGCTTAGTGGGAGGGGATTAAGCTCCTTGGGGCATTTTCCAGTATGTCCAAGGGACAAAGTGAGAGTGGTATTTGCAACTGCCTCAGACCTTCTCTGGGAGTCCCTGCAGATGTGAAGCTGCATCAGGGGGAGAAGTCATGTGACTGGAGGATGCATTCTCAGTCACGTATTGCCTCAAACCCATCCACTCCTGCATAGCAGGCCAGACTCCCTGCCCACCCTGTTTCTACAGGCCTGGGCCTCTCCTGGAAGTGACCCAGCATCCTGGCCCGCAGCACCCACCTCTGTGGTCTCACCTTTCGCCTCACTTGCACTTGATTCCACTGCCCATTCAGCCCCAGGTAGCACCTTGGCATGAGGGAGACCCTCCTGCCTAGCAGCATTTCTTGTTTGTTTGTCCAGTTTTATTATGCTATAATTGCTACAAACATTATATTGGCTTCAAGTTTACAACCTGTGTTTGTTGATACTGTGAAATGTTCACCACAATAAATCTAGTTAATGCCAGTCCCTTGCACACAATTGGTTACAAAAGTCACACTTATATATATGTATATATATACACACACACATATATATATATTTTTTTTAAAGATTTATTTATTTATGCATACAGAGCTGGGGTACAGGCCAGAGGTGCAGGGGCAGTGACAGGATTCACCAGAGTCAGAATGGGGAGCAGAACAGGCAGATCGTAGAAGTACACTGCTGAGGGGAGCAGCGGGCGGGCCAGGAGAGATCTGCTGTGCCATGTGGATCACTTCTGGGGCGGATATTGAACTCGCACTGAAGTAGCTGCGGCCATGTTGCAGTGCTGGGTTCTAACCTATTGTGCCACCAGGGAGGGCCTATATATGTTTTTTTTAATTTGAAGTTATTTGTTTATTTTTACATCATTCTTCATTTTGTACAATTTTCCATTCCAGTTGTAATCTCCGTGGACTTCCCACCACCAGTTCACCCATGTGCCATCATCATAGTCCCGTGTGCTCTTCCCACCCCAGTTTTGACCCTACTCTCCTCTCCACCCACATAGAATGTCTCTGTCTACTTTTAACAATGCACTAGGGTTCCCTTTTCTTCACATCCGCATCAGCATGTAATCTAGTGTTTATTTTGTGATAGTCACAGATGTGGGGAATATCTCATTGTGGCTTTGTTTTGTGTTTCTGTATAATCAAGATGTCCTCATCAAGATGACCAATATGTCCTTTTTATGTGCTGCTGTTTATGTTATCTGTATAACATCTTTGGGAAATGTCCATTCAGATCTTCTATCCATTTTTAAAATGATATTATTAGTTTTTTAGCTACTGAGTTGTTAACCTAATTCTTTGTGACCCAAACTGAGCTGAATTTGTCAGCTTTCTCTGAATTTCTATAATAATATTTTTCTCTTTATCATATAAATCCATATATTTAGTTAAACATTGTTATTCAAATTCTTGGTAGTCTTTTTTTTTTTTTTTTTTTTAAAGATTTATTTATTTATTCATACAGAACTGGGGTACAGGCCAGAGATGCGGAGGGTGAGAGGATTCACCAGAGACAGAGTGGGGAGCAGAATAGGCAGATCAACGAGGTACACTGCTGAGGGGAGCAGTGGGCGGGTCAGGAGAGGTCTGCCACGCCATGTGGTCACCTCCAGGGCAGGCGGGGATCGAACTCATGAGGAAGTGGCTTTAGTTTCTCAGTGCAGTGCTTTAACCCGCTGCGCCACCAGGGAGGGCCCGGTAGTCTTTTTTTTTTTACTCTGTGATTTGTATATCTCTGAAAGAAATTAATCTCTCACTATAATGAAATCATGAACTTTCTTTATATTAATTTTCCTGTATGCTTGCAGCTCAATGCATTTCACATGACTTTCAGTAAATGCCTATGCACCCCAATGTTCATTGTGGTTGGGCTGTGGTCACCAGTTTTGCATCATTGCTATATATATATATATTTTTTTTTTTTTAAGATGTACTTACGCATACAAGAACTGGATGGGGAGTGAAAAGATTCACTAGAGACAGAGTGGGGAACAGAATAGGCAGACTGACTGGACTACACTGCTGAGGGGAGCAGTGGCTGAGACAGGAGAGATCTGCTGCACCATGTGGGTCACTCCTTGATGGGGGATTGAACTCATGCTGCAGTGGCTGTGGATAGCTTCATAGTGCTATGTTTTAACCCCTTATGCCATCAAGGAGGCCCATCATTCCATTTTTAAATCTTTGACCTATGGATACTGATTAATTTCCAATTGGATAGAAAATAGGTTTCTTTATGCTGTTGAATCTCTGTGTTTCAGTGTAACGGTGAGAAGCTTGCCTAACACATAGGGTGACTGTTTATAGAACCTATTGAAATTTCCTTTGGATAAGTCCCAAGGAAGTTGATATAGATAATTGTTATTTGCATTCATTAGGTTTTAAGGTATTAATAGCTTTACTTTTTGTATTTGTTCTGGTTATTATTTTTGATATGATGAATGCATCCCACCATAATAGTGGTATTTTTCCTATTTCTCCTATCTAGATGCATGTAACTGCTATTTCATCTATTTTTAAACCTCATTGAATTCCTATTAAATTGAACTTCATAGCCTATCAGATTGAATACTTTTCATTCTGATCATCTGTATCACCACACTGTCTTTCTGTTGGCTTATTACTGATATGTCTTTTTTTTTTTTTTTTTTGAACCTCCTTGTTCCTGTATACTCAGTCTTTCAGTGTGGTTTTAAAGTGTTTCTTTTGAGGGAGTGGTCTGTTTTGTTATTAATGTAGAGGAAGAATATGCTCTTCCTGACAACTCTCTGCTGCTACACTTAGGTCCAAAGTTTCATGGAAGATCATCAATAATAGATATTAAATATGTCAAACAGCATTATAACCCAAGTTTGTCATCTTCTTCATTTTATACTAAGCCATATGATAACTCTACATTTCATCACAAATAGAAAAATAAGGCTATTAATACCTTAAAACCCAATGAACAATACATTCTATCACACCCTTAGTGGATTACAGCAAAGTCTGTAGTTTTCTTAATCAACGTGTCTTTGGAAAGCTTCCTGTAAAAAGGATTGCAGATAGGTGGGAAACTGTTACACACCCACAGCTGCAACCCCCCATAAATAGGGGAATGAAATGACACTGCTCATGTCACACCAGGTCCCAGGACGTGTGTGCAGTGACTCGACTTCAGAGGAGGTTAGTACACACTCTTGGCCCTTACAGTGGGTGACACTGGTGTCTTTTCTATCACTGCTTTATTTAATGGTCTTCCAATTTCCAACCAACAAATGTTTCTGGAAGAGGCTAATTTATATTGAAGATCACTGGAAACTTTGATTCTGTTACTTATGCATAGTTTGAAAATCTGTTTTGGAACAAGGCAAGCTTAAATAGAAAAAGTATGAAAAAAATAAAGAAGTTCCTGACAGGAATAATGAGTACACGTCCTCATGGTAAGTTTCCTCTTCGGGCTTCATTTCTGCAGACATGATTTGTACCAGGGATTTCCAGAACTCTGTAGGACAATGGAAACCATGAAGCTTTTTCTTTTGTAACTAAGTGCCAATTTTTTTAAACATTCACCCACTCTGTAATTACTGTGCTTATCTTTTCATGTAATCATTTTGTTGGCAGGCGAGGATTTGGCTACATGCTCTGTTTTCTGCATTTTCCTGCATCCTTGTGGGACAAGGCCCCTTCTCAATTTGTCCTCCTTTACAGGTATGTCTCAGATAAGACTAGGCCACCTGGACGAGCTGCAGGTGCAGCGGCTGGAGGAGATGTGCATCGTGGTTGATGAGAACGATCGGGTTATTGGGGCTGAGACAAAGAAGAATTGCCACTTGAAGGAAAACATCGAAAAGGGTGAGGAAGGAGAGCCTCATGTGGGCAAACTGTCCCCACACCTGCTGGGCACAGCAGAGTGTGTTTGAAAAAATGTCACTGAGAACAGGCTACTCAAACAGGCCAGGATCCCCCTTTGGTTCAGGAGCCATCAGGCCTCACATGATCCTTGCTCAGGGCCAGTTTATCCACAGCTGGGAGCTAGAGAAGCCCTCAGGCTTGCCTGTGCCCACCCTCAGCTGGGACAGCAGCAGTTGTAGGTCAGAGGCATGAGGTTGGCTGGGTCAGACCCTAGGCCTGTATGACTTGTATGAACACCACATTTCTTCATCCTGTGGCCCAAACAGAGAGGAGGGAGAACAATGTCAGGGGCTCAGGGGACCCTCTGAAGAAGAGGTCACAATCTGGTACATGATGCCCAGCACAGGGCAGCTCCTGAGATAACCACAGACCTTGACCTGGATGGGAGGACAGAAGAGGGAAACAGACATGCATCCAATGGGCTGTGTTTAACCAGCACACCCCTTTGGCAGGCCTTTTACACCGTGGCTTCAGTGTTGTCCTGTTCAACATGCAAGATGAGCTCCTGGTGCAGCAGCGATCAGATGCCAAGTACACATTTCCTGGTGAGTCTTCTCGAAAGAACCCTGCAAGCATCAACTGTGCTGGAACGAGAGAGCTCCACAGAGGAGTCACTTGCCTTATACTTGTGAATTTGGAGGCAGTGAAAGGCTTTTTAGTTTAAAAGAAAGGAGCATGTGGGCCCTCCTGATGGTGCAGCGGGTTAGAGTGCTGTACCAAAGCTCAGCCGAGCTGTGGCTGCTTCAGTGGGAGTTCAATCCCTGCCCCGGAGGTGACCCACATGGCCGGCAGACCTCTCCTGTCTCACCTGCTGCTCCCCTCAGCAGTGTACTTTGTTGATCTGCCTGTTCTGCTCCCCACTGTCTCTGGTGAATCCTCTCGCTGCCCCTGCACCTCTGCCGGTGCCCTATTTCTGTATGCACAAATGAATAAATCTTTTAAAAAGGAGGACTTTGTATGGATAACATTTGACAAAGAATTGAAAAGTTGAACTGATGGTGAGTGATTAACTCATAATCAAATCTGTTATCCACTAAATCATACCTAGGACAGTGCCTCCTTAATTAAAGAAGGCCCTCCCTAAATCAGTCACTCTACCCACCTTCCAGGGCATCTCACTGACTCCTGCTCCAGTCACCCCCTGAGCAATCCTGCAGAGCTGGAGGAGAAAGACGCCCTGGGAGTGAGGCGCGCGGCCCACAGGCGCCTGCAGGCCGAGCTGGGCATTCCCCCCGAGCAGGTACGCCCTCTGAGCCTTTCCTTTGATATCTTTTTGTTGATGATTTAAAATCTTATCCTCAATCAAGGCTTTGGGGATAAAACAAACGTTAGGGTGACATGACGTATTTCAACTATGTGTGGTTTTCAACTATTCATTCTTGGTTTTTAGCACATGGAAGTAGATGAAAGTTAAGAATCTGATTTGTTACTTGGTAAGTGCTGCTGAAGAGATGAAAATCAAAAACAACCCAGTTTACAGAGGTTCTACAACAAAACAAATACCTCTAAAGATACGGTTTTTACAGATGAAATGACTTATAAAATTGATTGATGTACTCCATAGAATTCTCCATGATTTCCTTGTACTCCTTCTTTTACTTCAGTTTTGTTCACATAATTATTCCATGAAGGGTAAGTGAAATCACGTGATCAAGGCAGACAGAGACTATGATTTAATTTTGTTTCCCCCGTGCAAAATGAGTGATTGGCAGCTAGGACACCTCAGTCTTCTCCAAATGAACTAAAGAAAACTTTTGACTTGTCTCTCTAAAGTGTTGTTCTTTTGTTTGAATTAATACTCAACTTTTCTCACAGATTTCCATAGAAGATATAATTTTTGTGACTCGAATTTACCACAATAGTCCATCAGACGACACCTGGGGAGACCACGAAGTGGGCTATCTTCTGTTGGTGAAGAAAGCTCTCACGCTGAACCCAGACTCCAGGGAGGTCAAAAGTTACCGCTACATGACCAGGGAGGAGCTGGGGGATGTCTTAGATCGGGCAGCCCAGGGACTGGAGAAAGTCACCCCATGGTTCAGGACCATCATGGAGGGCTTTGTGTTCAAGTGGTGGGGGAAGAAGCTACAGGATGTGTCCCAGTTTGTGGAGCCTGACACAATCCACAGACCGTGAGGAGGGGGAGGTACATTCAGAGTCAGGTGTCACCAACCGCAGGACCTTGGCTCCAATTTCAGGTTAAAGTGGCATGCTTACTAATGTGAATCACAGGAATTTAGCATGGAATTTCTTCAATCACGTAGATTTAGCTGCGAATCTGCTTCACTTTCCCCCGAGTGCTGTGTATTTTCTTCCATCTCTCCAAGTTTCAACTGCTCTCTACAGAAAAATACTGTTTTTCTCCTAAAACTTGCCCTACAAGAGCCTTTTATCCCTCAGCAGTTTCCTCTTGGGCTGTGAGGTTGAGTGTTTTGTAAAAACTCTGTCAAGAGTGAAAGATCCCTGTTTCCTCTCAGCTCCAAAGACATTTGAAGATCAGAAGGGCTAGTCCACCCCCTGGAGAGATGTACAAAAACCCACCCAAGCTTGTGTATACCTGCTTCTGGGCTGCCATTCCCCCATCTGGAGTGAAGGGAAATAAATGTCTAGACAGTCAGGATGAAGAAATGGGGTTCTTGTTTCGCAATGACCTCCTTCATCCACCAAACCTTCCTGAGCTCCCAGACACAGGTACATAGCTTCCATGACCTCACCCCACACACCCACAAACTGTCAGCATGGCTGTTGGGGAAGCTCAGCCTTTAGGGGGTAATATGCTCTATGATGATGACATACGCAGAAAATGCCATTAGTATTAATTGGGCAAATAAATCTCAGGAAAATATTACTTTGTTATGCAATGAGTTAAACAAAAAAAATTAACTTCTTGCTTCATTTCCATTTTAAGCCAGTATTTACTAAAAGAAATACATACCTATTAGTGTACCAATACAAAATAATTTTGAAAATACAATGCTTTAAGGTTAAGAAATGAATCTAATTAAAATGTTTACTGTTCGTAAGACCTATATGCATAGCCATTATTGAAATGCATTAATGCAAAAATTGAATAATCAGGAAACTTGGAGAGTAACTTAATTCTTTGATGTCCTGTGTAAATCCTGAATGAGAAAACTACTTTTGATTTCAATGCTTGTTAAATTCTTTGCTACTTGTAAACCTATGAGATCATTCTTCTGAAAACAAATAAAAATCTGATGGAAATGGTTTAATCCTTCTTTGAGGATTTCCTGGTTGGACGTCTAGGAGTTATTATTCTAGAAATGAACTCACAGGGTAGAGTTTCAGAGAGTTCTCTACTTAGGATGGTTGGATGCCAGCAGGGTCACATCAGTTTTTTGTCTGTTCTGTTGGAATAATTAAACAGATGAGCTTTATCCTAATGGATTCTGGGGAAGAACTGAAAACCGTGCAAAGGCCTGGGGACAGGTCACCATTTGTGGGTTGTCATTCTTGTGCTAACAATTTCAATATACCACTCAGGCTCAGGGCACAGCAACAATGGGGCTTATTAACAAAGAGGTAACAGGGAAAAAAGAAAAAAGTTTCTAAGGCCACAAATGACCAGCTGCCCTACCCCAGATAAAGTCAGTGTCCTGTAGTCCAAGCCAAAGTGTGCAGTGGTGCACAATGAAGCCTAAAATATTTCATCTTACAAAACAATCATATACTATCAAACACCAATTCCACCACTCCCTAGCTCTTGGCAATCACTTTGAGTTTCTATTATTTTGAGTTTCTATTATTTTGACTACTCTAGACACTTCAGAGTGGAATCAGGCACCACTTTGTCCTTCTGTGGACTGCCTTGTTTCCCTCAAGCTTCATCCATTTCACGACACATGCATTTTTTTTAAAGGCTGCACAAATATTCCATTGTGTGCCATTAACACCTTTTCTTTGTCCAGTCATCTACCCATGGACATGTGGGTTGTTTACCCCTTGTGGCCCTGCTTCAAATCTTTTTGGCTATATACCTATAACTGGAAAGGCTGGATAACATAGGAAGCCTATTTTTAAAGTTTAAAGACACCTCTACACCATTTTCTATGACTATACTACTTTACCTTCACAAAGGTTCCAATTTTTCCACATCCTAACAAACACATTTGTTTCTGTTCCTTTGATAATGGCCATGTGAAGGGATGAACTTGTTGTAGTTTTTATTTTCGTCTCATTAATAATGTTCATCATCTTTCACTTGTATATTTTCTGTGGAGAACTGTCTATTCAAGTCTTTTGCCTACTTTTTTGTTCTAGTTTAACCTTATATACTATGACTCCATTATACATATATTTGCAAATATATATATATATATATATATATATATATATATATATATAGTTGTTTTGAAATTTCTTAAATCTGTCTCTGGTCTTCCCCTTTGAACATTTCCTGTATCTTTGTATGTCTTCTCTTGCTAAAAATGGGACATTCATGAGTTTGTACATGAACCTAGGAATTCAGGTCACCCCCTTCCCTGAAGGTTGCTGTATTTTTTAAATTTTGGATTGTTGTAGAGTCTCTCTCAGAGATCAGTCTGTAGTAAACACCAGGTATCACCTCAGTTCTGAGTCTTCCACTAGGCTTGTGTGCTGACTTCCAACTCCTTCCAGTTACTTTAAAAATCTTAATCCTTAAATGTCTAGTCACCCACAGGGTGAAAAAAGAAAAGATACAACAGAAAATAAAACAGCACTGGCCTTCTAATTTCCTGGAATCTGATTTGGCACGTAAGGACCCACTATCTACATTCTGCCAAGAGAAGCAACAAATCACGCAACCGCAATATTTGGAAAACAAGTTCCCACAAATGGCTCCAGGAATGCAGGCACAGTAACTGCTCAGGGCTTGGGGCTGGGGCTAGTAGAAGCCAACACACAGGGCTAAAACTGACCAGAACTAATTGTGACTACCAGTCACGCCCTTCCCTGGCAGATGCAGGCCTTCAAAGAGACTTCAGAGTTCTTAATAGCTACAGCAGACCCATTGCCAGGGAATTGAAATCTAGGTAAAGATGGATTCCTGGTGCTTCCCATTCTACCATCTTCCTGACATCATTCAAGTGTAAATTTCTCCTAAGACAACTTTTCCAAAATATATATAAATATTGTTTTATATTCCAAATGCAACACAACTTTTTAAACACACGTGTAAAAAGGAAAGCTTCAAATCACGTTGCAAAACACTAAAAGACAGACACATACAGATGTACTTTTAAAGTGTTACCAGTCAGTAAAGGAGCCTTGTGAAGGAGAGGCATCTTCATGTGAAAGTGCACAGAATGTAAGTGGTAGTAATGGTATCTTCTGTGCTCAAGAGATGCTTAAGAACATCAGGTTAACATGCTAGTTTGCTACATTCTGTGTGGAGATACTAAGATGACATGTGTGCGGGTACTGAGATGACATGTATCTCACAATTATCTTCACTTAAAATAAATGGAAATAGGGGACTTCCCTGGTGGTAAAAGGGGTTAAAGCATAGCACTGCAAAGCTATCGGCAGTAATTGCACCATGAGTTCGATCCCCAGCCAAAGAGGTGACCCACATGGCACAGCAGACCTCTCCTGTCCCGCCTGCTGCTCCCCTCAGCAGTGTATTTCAGTCATTCCACCTGTTCTGGTCCCCACTCTGTCTCTGGTGAATCCTCTCACCCCTGCACTTCTGGCTTATACTCCAGTTTTTGTAAGCATAAGTAAATAAATGAATAAATAAAATAACTGGAAAACAGGCACCCAGGAAATACTTTTGGGGCAGTATTTGTAAATGTTTGTTTCATTAACACATGTAATTTTCAGCAATGTACTATAGCACATTTAAGTTGCTTTAATGCCTTAGACAACATTTTTGTCCACAAAACAAGCGGAATTCTTTGAAAACAAACAAAAAAATAGTCATCTATATTTTTCCCTTTTCATTTGATCAAACTGAGTAATTCGTAACTAAACAGCCCCCCAAGTAAAGAATCAAAGAATCTATTAAAGCTACTTTCTTTTACAAGTTTATTTTGGATAAAATAGTTGGAGACTGATTACCATGGCACATCATACCAAAAAAAATAAAATAATTTAGTTCAGCCCCATAAATTCACATACAATAAAGCTGACGAGAAGGCTGGTAGCCTCCTGCATACAATCACAAGTGGAGTCATCTTTTTCCCCCCAAAAGGCTATTCAGATACAGTGAATAATCCCTCTTGCAGAAAAAAATTAATTTTTCTCCATCAAAAACACAGTCACACCAATACATCGCTGCACTTCTGCAAATGTGATATAATAAAAATTCATTAAATGCAGAAACCACAATCTACCCAAAAATATGTGTAATAAAATAGTTGTAATACTATGGAGTTACAAATATTTCCCATACCTATAGAGCGAAGGGTTAACGACAGTTTCAGCAAAGCAACAAATGCTTTAATTATGTCACCGTAGTTTTCAGTTACAGTCATGACTGCGCTCTGGAAAACCACACCAAAGCGAGAAACAGTCCGGCCAAACCGACTCACAGCAATGGACACTATCTCCTGTCCTTTTTACCCGACTTCCTCTTTCCAGACAATAAGTGCTTAGGCTTCATATCAAATACATGTCTGTCTGCTTCGCCTTTCTTCCCCAAACGATTCATCTTCTTCTGGGCATTCTTCATCATAGTTTTGGCTTTCTTCACCATCTATGAAGGCAAAGACAATGTTAGCCTCTAAAACCAATTTCCATGTATAAATTTTCTCTACCTGGTGAAGTCTGTTCTGTGAGGTAAGCTAACCTTAGCGCGCCCCCACCCCACCCCATCCTCCTCTCGTACAACCTCCTCAGCACCTGCAGAACCTTGATACCTGGGCATCAAAACAGAGTGAAAGTCTTATCTAAACTGTGTAAGATGTATTTCAGACCTCGGTTAGAGCCTATCTGTTCTAATTTCCTTTTGGACAAAGGAAGAAACTAAGATTCTGGCTCAAGAAACTATACTCATATTACACGGTCAAGTGGTAATGCCAATATTAGAACCCAGATTTCTACAAAGAGATGGTAAGAATGGAAAACTCAGATTCTATAAAATAAAGTGGCACATATATATTTTCCTATAATGACATTTTCAAAGTGCTAAGCTAATAATTTTCACACTTTTTAATAAAAAATGCTTCAGCAAAAGGGTGTGTATAAACAAGTATCTTTCCCAAAAGACTGATCAAAACTGCTCCCTCCAGGCTGGTTCTCTGCAAGGGCTTGCTGGTGTTAAGCATGCGTGGAGTCCCTGCTACTCCACAGGACTGTGCAGGTGTTTGCCCTGTACCCTCATGTCATCAACAGCCAAGATTACCATTTTATTGATTACACATTTCTGAAACTGACCTTGACATCCCGAAGACCAGAAACATCTCGGGGAGTTCGAGAGCAACTGCGACTTCGAGTCACAGAAGAAGGTGCAACAGAATCTTCCCGCTTCCTTTTCCTAGTGACACTGCGAGAACGTCTGGCCTGGACAGCATAATGGGCCTAAAAAGCACAACAGGCAAACTTCAAATTTCAGTGCTCAGGACCCAGACAGGCCTTGTGGCTTAATGACAAACGCAGTCAGGAGAGAAGACGGTGAGGAGCTTTTAGAGCCATTATCAAATAAGCTAAAGAGGCATAAAACACAGAATTAATTTTATATCAATTATTGGTTAATATTCTTTTCCACTTAACACAGACATTTTATGTTACAAGGCTGACTTGAACACCATCTGAAAAAATTAAGTTAGAGCTACCCATTCAAAATATTTTCCCTTCCCCTGGGTAGTTTTACACCTTGTATTTCAGACATTAAATGTTCTCCCTCACTCCACCATTTTTGGATTATTTATCTCAAGAGTGACAGCCAACAGAAAGCTCAGCCTTGAGGTTAAATGAAGATGTGCAGAAGGCCATGGGCAGACCCTGTAGCCTGGCCCCCTGTAATTGTGGGTGCCTCGTTTGACCTGATGCCCATCCGGAGACAAGGACACACAACTACCTTGAAAGGCAAACAGGTTGTGGGTCCAGCACTGAGTCAACAATCGAAAGTCAGAATCTGTAAATACACATTAAACTAATACCAGGTACCAGCAGGACAAGGCAAACTGGCATGTTCACACACTGGGATAAATAAATAGCAGCCTAACCCTTTGGAAAGGAACTTTACACAATGCTATCTCTTTATCTGGGCAGTTCCACTTCCAGGAATCTATGTGGAGACTATAATTCAGAATACAAAAAAGTTGTTTTTTTTAAAGATGTATATACTCTGACATAATTCATCACATTAATAATTGAATTCTAACAAATGCTTGACATGCCTTCTAATTTCTGAGTTCTAGGACAATATTTTAAACTATTTAGAGCCTAAATCCTCTCGTTGAGATATCTTCTCATATCAGATATGAGAGACACTTCATATTTGATAACCAAAATCAGTCATAGTTTGAGTAAATATTTGAGCAGGAAAATATAATTCTGTAATTTCATTCCAGCTGAGAGTCTATTACAATTTGTACTTTCACTCATGTGGATATTTCACACTTTACATTTCTTTTTAAGCTTCAAGCAACCCCAAAACAAAGAGATCAAGCCTTCTGACTCAAAGATATGAGAAATTTTCCTGAAATGAAAAAATGTTTGTCACAATGAAACATAGATGCAACAGTATGTGGAATGTGATCATACTTATTTTTAAGTAAGAAACAAAAATGAAAGACCACTGGATTAAAAAAAGAGTTCTACCACATGTCAACCTAGTTTTTTGCACTATAAACACAAGCCATTGTTTTCTCTTTCTAGCTTTTGTTATCTTCCATTAAAATGGAAATGGAATATGTATTTTTAAAAAATCTGACAAAAAGTAAGAAAATACACCAGGACCACCTGACATAACTGACACTTAAAACTAGAGAACCTGAGAACAGCACACAGGGGTTCGCCCACCCAAAGGACAGGGTGTGAACCTCTGGTCATTTCCCAAATGGTGGCTGATCTGTAACAACAGCAGAGGCCTTTGACTCACTGAGAAGGAAAAGGGCAAGTAGGACAGACACATTCAGTTCTCACCCAGACACTTAAATCAACAGCTAATGTCAAAGAAGCTCCTCAGGAGAAATACTGAAAGTTCTCATCTCTATCTTAATCAACCTGTAAATTACAGGCTTTGAAAACAAAGCTGTGCCCAACCACACACGCACTGAACTTCTGACACACTCACATTGTCTTTGTTATCCATGTCAACTCCCAGACTGCGCATCTCATTCTCCAAATCATTCCGCTGAACCTGAAAGGGGGAGAGGGTTATTTGTTTGAAGTAAATTGAGTCTGATAAAATTTTTAAAAATTTCAAGGAAAAATGTACCTTTTATAATCATCTATGACATATTTCTTTTAGAAATTGCACCTTTAATTTGGACTCAAGTTCATGATGTTTATTAAATCCCATGAAAAGTAACACTTGGCCCTCCCTGGTGATGCAACATGCTAACGCACAGCACTATGAGGCTACCACAGCCACTGCAGCGCAAGTTTGATCCCCGGCCAGGGAAGTGACCCACATGGCACAGACCTCTGCTGACCTGCCTGCTGTGCCCCTCAGCAGTGTATTTCAGTACATATGCCTGTTCGGCTCCCAAATCTGTCTCTGGTGAACCCTCTCACCTTCCTGCATCTCTGGACTGTACCCCAGTTCTGTATGCATAAATAAATAAATCTTTAAAAAAAAAAAAGGAGGAAAACTAACACTTCCTGGGCAAACTGCTCTGTGTAAGACATACATTTACATCATGTCCCTGTCTTTTCCACAACCACTCAGGAAGTTCCCATACACACAGTGCAGGGAGAATCTGGCAATATACCCAAAGAAAGACTACAGGACAACACCTCTTCCCACATCTCTGAGCACCACCCACATGGAAACAAATTTCCAAATACAAACATCGACTGAGTTGCACCCAGGATCGCTGTTTCCCTCCCCTCACATTCTATTTCCACTGTCTGGCACACTGTCTCTCTCCTTGGGCGCTGCCCCTACATTTCTGCACACATCCCTGCTAAGGAGGAGAGAGGGAAAACTCAGGTCCTGTCTGGACACCCTGACGAGAGTATGGAGAGAGAAAGAAGCCTGTCAGGAGACAGGGCTTAAGGTGGGAAAGACTCCTGCCTGGCCTCCTAAGATGCACTTGTGCCTAAAGTATGACTCGCCCCACCTTAGCCAATCATAGGAGCCAATAAATTGCCCTTTGGATTTGAATAGATTGGGTTAGATTTGTATAAATTTCAAAAGAATCCTAATTTTAAAAATCAAATAAGAAATGTTAATTGATGGCTTTATATCTACAAATCACAAATGATACCTTAATTTTCACAACTACAAAATGGATGAACCCTAGTGTGCTGAAGTTGAAAGTCACCAAGAAATGGCAAAATAATCAGAACAAAAGCTCAAAACTCAAACCACTTGGGAAGCCAGTATAAACTAACAAACAGCTTGCATGATTTTGTGGTCACATATACTCCTAAAATGTTTTATTTAGCAATGATTCTTATAAGAATCCAACGTGCAAGGAAACAGATCATGCCTCTTTGAAAACACAAAACTTGCCTTCTTAGCAGTTCGAGGCATTCTGGGTCCCTGTGTATTCTTCTCTTTGGACTGCAGAATTTTCAATTTCTTTTTCTCTCTGATTTGTTGTGCCAGCTGTCGAATTTCTGCCATTTCTTCATCTTCACTTTCAGACTCACTGTCATACTCTCCAGCAGCTGTTCTTAGCTCTTCCTCTTTTTCTAACTCTTCCAATTTCTTTAAAAGGAATCACAATCAAACAAAATTAACAATGGAAAAATTCTAAAGAGAAAGTGTAGCAACATTTCCATGAGCTAGGCTTCCCCTAAGTCAGGATGCAATGAATGGAACAGCTGAGAGATGAAAAGTGTGAGGCACGACTGAGGAGTTTAAAGATGTGCTTTCTGACCTGTGGGAGTATGAACAGCAGAAAGGAAGGAGGAGGAGACTGGGAGAACAAGAAGAATTAACAAAAGCAAAGGCAGTGAGCATGCAGTAAACAGGAACAGAAATGGGCAAGAGGCTCATTCCTTAGTTACTAAAGCACATGAGGATGTCATCAACCACAACTTCTAATGCAGGGATGAGCTTAAAATATCAGTGTGAGGGGCTTATGTGGACCATGACAATGAAACTGAGATGGCAAATTAAGGACAGCACTGAAACTTGGGAGTGGAAAGGAAAGAAATGTAGACTGCAAATATTTTATGAAGTATTTTTGCTAACAGTTTGAGAAAGACACAGGGTAACTACCAATGCAGGGTACAAAGTTTCAGAAAGGGAGGTGGGTGAGGAAGCAAAGCTCCGGAAAGTGAAGGAAGGATGAGATCAGAAACAAGATGCACCCAGAGGCCAGAGATCAGGACAAAGCCAGGACAGGGGCCTCACAATACACAGACTCGTCTCTCTCATTAAGGGAGGCCCCACTGACACAGGCAGAGGAGGTACAGCTGGAGCTGGAGAAGGGTGGGGAGTCCGTAACAGCCTCCAGGCAAGGGAAGTCACAGGGCTGAGCCCTGGGGTCAGAAACAGGAAGATCCTAGTGGTGGAGGAAGGAGAGACTCAAGGTCAAAAAGGAATGAAGTCAACTGATACAGGAGAGTCTGCAGTTGTGCTGTATCTTCCAGTGACCATAATAAAAGGGAAGAAGTTACATACTTTAACAAGTGACACTAACCTTCATGATGTCAGGATCAATATAATCAGCTACATTGTGTCCTTCCCAGATCTCAGGTATCTTATCATACTTTTCATGTGAATTCATTATATTCCAGTACTCTAAAAGTTTTAAGAAAGGTTACATTAATAAGTTTCAATAGCTTCAGCTATGTGTCCAAAATGAGTTACCACTTATGCTAAGTCAGGCCATTGTGTGAAGACAACATAAGCAAGGCGACACTACAAAGAGTTAATACCAAGCATCTCTCAAAGTTTACCAGCAACGTGGGGTGCTGGGTAAACAGAAAATGAAAAGAAAAACAGGATATGATACTCAAAGGGAAATAAAAAGTATGAGAACAGGGGTCCTTCCTGGTGGACCAAGGGGTTATAAAGTGCAGCTCCGTGAAGCTATCTGCAGCTACTGCAGCCCGAGTTCCATCCCTGGCTGGGGAGCTGAACCACATGGTGCAGCAGACCTCTCCTGCTTCACCAACTGCTCCCCTCAGCAGTGTATTTCAGTAGATCTGCCTGTCCTTCTCCCCACACTGTTGCTGGTGAATCCTCTCAGCGCCCCCACCCTCCCACCACTGGCCTGTACCCCAGTTCTTGTATGCATAAACAACTGTTTCAAAAAGAAAACAGATCACTAGCAATCCCAACCTGGTTCAACATTTATAGGCTCTAAAAGCTATAAAGATAATCTCCCCTCATCCTAAAACAACAGGAAACTACCTGAAGGAAACTCAGCGCCTGATACAACTTTCCACCTTTAAGATATTAAAATTATCTTCTATGCTGGAAGACTTTCACTGAATGGAGGCTTTTCACATTTTTCTGAGACACTTTACATGCACCTGGCACTTTAAAGTAACTATTGTACTTGATTCCTTACTTTGAAGATCCAAAATGTAATCATCTCCCATTTCCAGCTCAATATCTCGCTCCTGCAAGAAAAATAAAATTAAGCATAATCCTTGACTCTACTTGACTTGCAGGGCACAGGGCCTTGCAGACACTAAGCCTCAGTCACTATAAAATCACCTTTGCTCCATTCTAAGACCCAAGCCCTTTCAACATCTCTGCATCTCCATGCCTATTTCTGATGGAAAAAAAGCAGCCTTTTGCCACCTGGTGCAGCACATCTTTCATAGGCACATTCTGTTCACAGCAACCTCCCGCCAAGTGCCCTACCTGGCTGCAGGCCCCCCGAGGCTGCTCCATGCTATCTCATCCCTTGAGGACAGACCTCCTACACCTTTAGAAGAAATGGCAGTTAAGTTACAGTAACCTACCTTTTTTCTTTTGGGCTCTTCAACTTCCATTCTCTTCTTCCGTGCCACCACTCCTTCTGGTATAAAAGGGGGCCTCTCCTAAGTAGACAATATCAGAAATATTTATGTGAAATGCCAGGTTGAATGTGAAGTGAAAACTAGAGATAAGCTCTCAGTCTGCAAGACAAACACAAACCACAGCCAGACAGGTCCAAAACCACAGGTGATTGGGGGACAGAAAGTGTAGGACCAGTTCAAGCAAGGAAGCCAGCAAGACTACAAGTTTAATCTAAAATCTGCTTTCAAAAATGAATACCAGGATGTCAAGAAGTGATGCAAGTGATACAGTAGAAATAAAGCAAATCAATAACTGAGAGAAAGGAATGGAGACATAAACCAAAGTACATATGAGAAGAACTCAATGGGATGATAAATTATCGGGTTAATTAGTATTGAGAAAATGGCAAGTCAGTTGTAAGCAGCTGAGTAACTACCTCCACCTACTTCCTATGAACAAAATAAATTCAAGACTGAAGACTTCCACCCAAAGTAAAACTAAAATAAAAACCAACTATCCAATTTCAGGAAAAGAAAACTGTACTTTTGGACAGATGGTAGGCCCTATATATGACACAAGACCTAGCAGTCATTAAAATAAAAGGGTTAGGCCCTCCCTGGTGGTGCAGCGGGTTAAAGCACAGCACTAAGAAGCTAAAGCCACTTCCACATGAGTTCGATCCCGCCTGCCCCGGAGGTGACCACATGGTGTGGCAGACCTCTCCTGACCCGCCCGCTGCTCCCCTCAGCAGTGTACTTCGTTGATCTGCCTGTTTTGCTCCCCACTCTGTCTCTGATAAAGCCTCTCGCCGCCTATTCTGAACCCCACTCTGTCTCTGATAAAGCCTCTCGCCGCCCCTGAGCCTCTGGCCTGTACCCCAGTTCTGTATGCACAAATAAATAAATCTTAAAATAAAATAAAAGGGTTAATAAGTACTTGCTTAAAAGTTTAAAAATGTGTAAGCTCTGAGGTTAAAAGTCAATCTTCTCAGGCCCTCCCTGGTGGCACGGCGGGTTAAAGCACAGCACTGAGAAGCTAAAGCCACTTCAGTATGAGTTCAATCCGCACCCCGCTGGTGATCCACACGGCGTGCCAGACCTCTCCTGACCCTCCCGCTGCTCCCCTCAGCAGTGTGCTTAGTCTGCCGGCCTGGTCTGCTCCCCACTCTGTCTCTGGTGAATCCTCTCACTGCCCCTGCACCTCTGGCCTATATCCCAGTTCTGTATGCATAAATAAATAAATCTTTAAAAAAAAAATCAAACTTCTCTATGGTGATGGCACACAGGTGATTTGGTGATGGGAAGCCCACGGGATTACAAGAGATGGAAAAAGGCACAAAATGATGTAAAAATAAATCATATTATTTTTTTTTAAAAGGAATCTTCAAAATCGACAAGTAAATAACAAAAACAAAAAAATACAGAACACACAACAATCTAATTTCCTTAATATAAAAAATAAAAGTTAATGAGTAAACAACAGACTGAGAGCTGAGAGGTCCATGAGTGTATCAACGATCCTACAGCACGAACCGTTCTGACACACAGCGCAGCCTCCGGCCCTCTGCAGCCAGCTCCATGAGATGCACAGAAGCCCACACCCAGCTAACCAAGGAGCGATGCCAGCTTGTGCTCTCACCTTGCTGGTGGAGAAGCAACGAGGAAGGAGCTGGAGGACAGCTAGGTTTCACACATCACCAGCTGACTCTTCGTGTATTTAAGAACGCACCCTTCACACACACAAGTAAACACAACAGCACGCTGGCATTGTTTATAGCACCAAAAATTTGAACATTTTAAGGGATGGGATCCATGTCTGGTTTATAAATTTTTTTAAATATGCTCTTATACTGAAAACATTCCTGGGAAGATAAACAAGCCTGCGTTGATCATAACTGCCCCTGGTGAAGAAACAGGCTTTAAGCTTGTTTTCTTTTTCAGCTTTTCAGTTCCTGATGATAAACTGGCATAAGCTTTATGCTGGGTCAGAAAATCTAGACCACTGATGAAAGCTACCTGAGCATCATGTATGACAACTGCATAAAGGGACAGGCACGCAGCGTCCCAAATGCTGTCTGGGAGGTACCCACCTTGTCATCTCGCTTGTTTGGCACAGCCAGATGAAGTCTGTTCAGCACCTCATTCACTTTGTTACCTTTCATTTTGGTTTCAACTCGATGAGCCAAAAGCCTGTCGCAAGCCTAAGAAAGTCAGAAAATAGGCAGAGTCACAAATGGCAGAAATCTGCTGACCAAGCTGAGACTCAGCACCCCACAGCAAGCCCATGCGCCTCCTGGCCCAGGGGAGGTCTAAGGCAGATGCTGCCCCCTCTGACCCTCCACGTGCTCCCAAGCACATTCACTGCAGGACTCCAGCTGCAGCAGCTAAGCCTGAATAAAATCAATAGGATCAGATTGTCCTTAGTTCAGATAAAAATGACAACAAAGTAAAGGCAACAAGAACTGCCCATGAAATCTCGCGGGAAACGGCTTCCTCAAGCAGCTCTACTTTTTCAAATTACTGATTTTTTTTCTACTTCTGAAGTTTCCATGGAAGCATTTTCCACTTGAGCCGCCACAGAACTCATGGTAGGTCCAGTAGCAAATAGGGAGCTGAACTGAACTTTCTTACAGTGGGCTAAGTACAAAGTGCCTCTTCATTTCCCACACTGACAAGGCGGGGAACCTGGGTTTTGGCCAGGTAATGACCCACCTCTCCAGTCCAGCTGGGAGAAAGCTAGAGAGAAAAGTTCCTCAAGCCTGACTTTTCTAAAATAAGAGAAAGAGAAACTGACACCTGCTTCTAAGGAAGCACTGACCTCTGTTTTCACCTTCATCACACCTTCCTCAGTCAGGGTGCTGGTCTCCACCACAGGGAAACCTTCTGCCTGCAAATCTGTAAATATTTTCTGGGAATAAAAAGGGAGAGGAGACATATTGTTTATTTGCAGTTCCCTAAGATTATATCTTCTACCATCCCTCCAATGGGGGCTATAAAGGAACCATCACCTCTCTGGTCTGTTTTGTGACTCTCCTGAAGAACATTCATCTCCCCAAAATACTTAGACTTTAAAAGGAGAAATCAAACCAGACTACAGCAAGAAGTCTGAGCCCGCACCTTCCAAACAGAAACTCAGCAAGCCCAAGATGCAGATTTTTTTTAATGTTTTCAATATTACTCTTTAAAGAATATTTAACCTTCACAACCTAAGTGAACTCCTTAGAAAATAGCACAAAATGCTAGTGAATCTAGTTACTTATAGATCACCTCCTTTAAGATGGACTCCATGTGTGCGTCCCTCCACCACCACCATGCTGAGACTGACCTCAGACGTGCTACCCAGCCCCATGACATTCACTTTTGTGAACATGATCAACTATTACAGCACTCAACTAGCCAGTTAGATGTTGCCCTCCAGAAAGAGGAATCTTGGAGAGCCAGTGCCACCACTGTCTACCATGTGACCTGAAAAGACACTCAGCTACGTCAGCTGTCACGGGAAAGGCAGCAGTGACCTGTACTACAAACCTGAGAGCAAAAACCACAGGAAGCAGCACAAAAATAACAGTAATATCCTTGTGGCAGCCACACCACCTACCTGTGTTCCATTTCATTAACTCCTCCAGTTAACAGCATGTGCAAACAACCTACTTTCAGTTTGCTACTAATTAGATTTTTATAATGTGATGTCAATTAAACTACTAGGGCCAGTACCTCAAATTATAATCACAAACTGAACTGTCTTCCTATAATTTCCTCTAAACTTTGGCTGTCTATTCAGAACCTGTAGAAAAATAGTAAAATATTAAGGTGATTTACCTGATCATCTTCAGGAAGTTCAGCTATTCTCCTCACATCACATTTATTTGCTACAACTATCAGAGGCTAGAGGAAAGAAGAAAAGGGATGAAATGATTACCTTCACACTGCAGGTGATAAGCTAAGGCACTGGCCTCCACACTGACCTTATTGATAAAGAGTGGCCTGATGTTTTGGAAGAGCTCCATTTGCTCCTTCAAGCCGTGCCCACACTGCTCAGACAGGTCCATCACATAGAGAATGGTGGAGCGCAGGTGGGCCAAGGCCGTGATGGCCTGCATTTCAATAGTATTCCGATCCTCCAAAGGGTGATCCAAAATCCCAGGAGTATCTACAACCTGATGGTCACATTAGTTATGACACATTATTCCAATTTCCCTCACATAAACAAAATAGAGGTCAGTCTCCCAATTGACTGTGATAAAGATGTAAGAAAAAGTTTTTTTCTTTAAATAGTAAAAACAGGAGAAGGGGGGAACGACCCTGCAAAAGTAATTAAAGGAACCAGCCCATGACCCTAAGAGGATGACTCCTTTTTTCATTTGTGAGATCCTAAACAGAACTGGGTATCCTCAGTGTTAAGAATTACTTCATTTATAAAACCATCACTTCATGCTTTTAAATACTACATGCCTCTTCTGATGACAGGGTCAGAATCAGTGTAAAAGAGACTATGGAAATCCAAACTGGCTGCCTCCCATTCTAGCAAATGTGTATGAACTACCCAAAGATAACCTAAGACCCAAATCATTTTCTTTATAGGGAGGCTCCTATAAAGATTTGAGGAGCATTTCCCAGCTCCTCAGTCTTCCCTGATCTAAGTGTACTGAGAAGTGGACACTCCAATACTTTAGACAACATCAAAATACAATTCCATCAACAAAACCACTAAGCTGTTCTAGAATTCTCACCTGCCAGCGCAGATACTTATAATCCATGTGCCCAACAAACAGAGACTTGGTTGTAAATGCATATGGCTGCACATCCACATCTGCTCTTGTCACCTAAAATGAAATGAAAAAATCTACCATCAGAAGTTCTCTGACTTATTTTTGTTCATTGTAAACAGCACTAGTATGTTACTGAAACTAATTTGGTAGGGAAAACAAGAGACCTCACGAGATGAGACTGCCGAGGGCAGATGGACAGCCGGTAGGACAGGACCATGTGTCAGATACTAGCAGGCAAGAAGGTCCAGCCTTTAGAAGACACCCACTCGCTCTGCTCACTGCCCTCCAACCCTAGCACAAACAGAACTTTCTGTGGAAATGGAAGCGGTCTAATGTGTACCATCCAACGTGGCACACACTGCATATGGGTCCTTGAAATGTGGTCATAACTTAATGTCTAATTTTGTTTAGCTCTAATTAATTTAAACCTTAAACAGCTACACATGGCCAGTATCTCAATCTTACAACACTGGCTGATCAGTGCCAAGAAACATCTCTTAGGACATTGTGGAGCTCTGTCATAATCATAGCAACTGCTTTTATTTTGTAGCAAAATAAAAACCTACAAATCAGCTGAAAGTCACAAGTGTTCTTGGGAGCAGGTGGCCCCAACTTAACAATTGTTTTTTTGTACCTCAGATGTTGTTGCTTTTCGTAAAAGTCACATTTTCAACAGTTTCGGGTCTTTTCAGGTCCCTTGAGCTCAGTTCAACTGCCCTGAATCTCCAAGTTACTGAATTACTTGAACAGTACCTCTGGAGGTCCAATTAATAAGCTTATTCACGCAAAAGCAACTCAGCCATTTCTCAATGCATGGATGAGTTTATGTGAAAGCTGACACAGCAGGCTGAGTGTGGAAAAACACCTCCAAGAAATACCTGCAGAGCCTGGGAGGTACAACTGCCCAGAGTAAGCAGTTAACATCCTGGCCCTATCATTCGCATAGTACATGGAGACAACACCTCCTGGGAGAAGCTCTCAGTATATTAATCCAGTATCCTTGAATGTCTTAAACCCCATAGAAAAGTATAGGAGACCTCAGAATCAAAGAACAAGATGACTTCTGTGATAGCAGTATCAGTCCGAGTTCAGACAGAATCAATCCTCCCTTGGTGGGTGTTTTAAGTCTAGGGCATATGGACCAAATTCCCCACTGGCTGGCCGGCCTCTATCCCACAGCAGGACATGAAGCACTCTGGGCCAGACCCAAATGCCTGCATTATCACCAAAGACCGACCAACCTTATTGATGAAGCTGGACTTGCCAACATTTGGGTAGCCACACAGAAGCAGGGTCCTCGTATTCGGATCAATAGTTGGTAGACGGGACAGATGCTGACGCACTGTGAGGAGTAAGAAATGCAATATTTAAGATCTGTCTTGGCTTAGTTTTATTCCATGTCAGTGTACTGACCTGTATTAACTTCATCTCAATACTTTTAATACATGACAGAGAAAACAGAAAACAAACAAAAAATGCTAGCCACACAAGAATACCATGGTGTACAGAACACTAGTCTCATCTCTACTGAACCAAGAATCCTATTACCAGGCTGTACTATCTTGGTATTCCTATCACAGGTGGGGTTAAAGAAACATGTCCAAGAAATGCCCAGAAACGTAATGATGGAGTGAGATGATATTTGTAAGGTAGTACTGAGGAAAGTGTGTATGCCCTCATTTCCTGGCTGACAGTGAGCTGTTTCCCTATAGTGATTAATCCTCAGAGCACATCTGTAAACACTCAGTTCCCAGGAAACCACTGAGCAATTCTGACGATCAGACAGATTGCTGGAATCTGTCAAAGCAGTCAAGTATTATAATCTTGTTCCAGATTACGTGCAAGATGCGGGGGAGGGAGAGCAAAACCAAATGAATCTAAAAAAATTTGCAGTGTAAAAATATGCATGTAAGAAAGCAAATAACTGTTTCAATAAGAATCCTACATTAGTTCAGAAATTATCCTACAAATAAAACCACCGATTAGTAAAAATGGAGCAGCAAATGCTAACATATATTACAAACAGATACACAAAAGTTGTATAATAATGTCATTAATTTGATTTTTTTTTTTAAATTTATTTATTTACTTATACAGAACTGGGGTATACATCAGACTTTTCAAGGGAGCAGGGGAAGGATTCACCAGAGACGGGGGGGGGGGGGGAGCAGAACAAGTAGACTGACTGAAATACACAGCTGAGGGGAGCAGCGGGTGGGTCAGGAGAGGTCTGCCATGCCATGTGGGTCACCTCCCTGGCCAGGGAATGAACTTGTGCTATAGTGGCTGTGACAGCTTCATAGTGCTGCGCTTTACCTCACTGCACCAACAGGGAAGGCCCCTAATGTTAACCTGTAAGGATTGCAGGTGCTAGCTTGCCTTTTCAAGTGAAAATTTTTAGATTGGGTTGGGAAAAATATTTTGACCTTTTTAAAATAAAATATTCAAAAGTAAATTCTTGATGACACTTAAGTGCTTTAAGAGAACACTAGGACTATATTACTTATGCCTAACAAGTACCTTGTTCCAAATATTCCAAACTCTGCTTCTGTCTTTTGATAATAGTACACATTCGACCAAGGGCAGCACGCTTAAGCTGCTTACAGCGGTAGAGAGAGTCACCATATTTCATAAGCCGCACGTAATCTTTAGCAACACTGAAAAAAATAAGAGAAATATATAAAATCTTTCCCACTTTTGACAATAATTCGAAAGGTACTATATGAAGAAAATACCTTACTTGTCCACTAAATTTTTAGCAATATTTATTTGTCCTAGAGCCAACTTGTAATGATCCTTGTCATAGAGAATATTCATCAGATCAGCATAAAATGGATGGATGTCCTATAATAAGAAAAACAAAGCCATCATTTCTAGCAAGAGTTTCTCATCCTTGTAAATCAACAACCCCTGAAGAATAATTTACTAGGGTATCTATCACTTCTTCTCTCCTGGAGAGTTTTCTGGAAAACAGCAGCTATCAACAGGAAACCAACCCAGCAATCACTTCTCCAATGGCCCACCCACCCACTTAATCTCTGCTGCTGTAGGAGAGGTGTCCACAGGCCCAGAGAGGCCAAGCCTCCCTCTGCATCAGACCCATTCCTTCAAAACTCAAGATCCAGTTCCGGAAATCCTCCCCTCAGCTCCCTAGCCATTCCCATCAGCCCACAAACACATGGCTACTCCCCACATTGTATAGAAGTTTAAAACCCCCCGTTAACTCACTTCCCAATTATTTGATCCCCAGGAAACCTATGTTCTCCATCCCCCACTAACCTAATCCAGTTAGGGTTTTGTCTCCACAGACCACCAATGTCATTCTCTTCTTAGCCTTCCCCCAGCCCACAGCCTTCAGTCCTGGTTCGTGTGAGGATGCACTGACCTCTAGCCTAGGACAACAGGCTCCTAACAGGCCACTTTGCAGACTCTACTGCCATCATCCTCCTAGCAGAGCTGTAACATTGCAAGCCTAGTCCTACTCACTCCCTTGGTGAGTGCATGGAAATCTGGAAAGCCTTCTTGGGAGCCCCAAGCTGTTTGGTACTTCTTGGACACTACCCACAGCTTACTATTAGTGTGCAAACTACTCCCCTCCCCATCTCCACTGCCCACAGACCCAGGCCTGCTCTGTTCTGGGAGTAAATCCATCAGTTCCTCCTTCTAAGGACACTTCTCAACTCCTGCACCATGTATATAAGTGGCAGTGTTAACCTCTGAGACATCTCTCTCCCATAGGCCAGCCACCTCTCAAGGTCAGGTCAAGCAAACATTTCCCATGCTCAAGTACATATTCTGGACCTCAGGGCCTTACAGGTGCTGCTTCTTGTCCACAGTGCTCTTCCCCAAGGCTGCTGCTTGGGTCCCCCTTCATGTGCCTCAGATATTGCTGCAACCCCTGCTTATTACCCAACCCACACACTAGTTTGCGATTCCTGTTTTCCCCCCATTAGAAGGATGGGACCTTTCTCACTGCTGTATTCCTAGTGTCAACAATACCTGAGACATATTATTTAACAAATAGTAACTTTCTCTAACAATCTGAGTTGTCCTCACGTGCCAAATATAAAGTAAAAAAACAGGAATAAAATGCTCATAAATTTGAACCCTTACTGCATTAAAAAAAAAAAAAAGACAAGGATGAAAAACAAAAACCTTAGCAATTTACCAAAAAGCCTGGCACTGATTAGATAATTAGATCATAGTTTGCTGAAATTCACAGTCTCAGTTCAGAATCATCTCATCTTGCATCCTTTGCCCTCTCCTACAGTCCCCATCTTTTCCCAGGATGCACCTACTAGAGAAAATTTTACTTTTCAAACATTTCTGTATTTTTTAAACAAGCCATTGACTTTTTTTTAACATAAGAGAAACATTTGTATACAAAACCAACCTTTCTCTTTGCCTTAACCTACATTCTCAGACTACTCAGGGCAGGAAGAAATCTAGGTCCTCACACTGTATCACGGTCCACACCCTTGTCCTGAACTTACAGCCTTGCAACTACATGACCCACACAGGAACTTCACAAGCAGTGTCCCCTCTGGCTCTTATAGTTAATGAGAACCCAAGGAGAAGGATCAGACTCTGCAAGGGAGGCTGGCAAGGAAGTATCCCAAGGAATCACTAACTTACTGAGTACATCACGACCAATCAAATTACTTTGTTTCCTTTGATCACTGCCAAAGAAATAAACCAAACCCCTCAAACAGATTATCTGAAGGCTTAATTTCCATAACTTTATATACCTCCACAGATACTTACATCCAATTTAGGGAAATCGGTCAGAATCTGAGAAAGTCTATCATGGTAATTCTGTTGAGTAAATTTAACTTTTCTCATGTAAAAATGCCTAATGCGATGAATTTGGTAATGTTTATGAATAACTGTTGGAGTCTTTCGTTGAGTCTTCGATAATGTCAGATCAATAAAGTCCTACAAAAAATAAGACAGTTACACCAAAGACATACTTTTTACCCACTTACTTGAAACTTTTTTTTAAACTAATAACTAAAAAATGTTTTAAATTACATGTACTTTTTCTAACTAAATATTTCATCTCTCATGTACAACCATATTCATCTTTCATAGTTTCTGGCTTTGACGAAATGCTTAGTAATGGCTGCTGAAATAAACTGTATTCCATATTTTGGTGTCTTCATAATTTCCAAATTCCTAAGAAACTTTGAAACTCAGATAACTCAAGCATCAATCAAAAGTCACTGAAAAAGAAACCTCTACAGTTTAAATACACATCTCTGACTCAGAAAGTACAAAAAAAGGGCGTAAAACTAAATCCATCACTTATAAGTTCCTAAGGTATGCTAAAATGACTAGCCGAAGATTTCTACATGAATTCTTCAATGCTGAGACCAGCAGACAGGTGTCTATGACCTGTCAGTACTAGGAAGGGCACATGTAGCATAATACTTCTTTCTAGTAAATTCTACGAACCTCTAAGGGTCCAGCTCAAAAATTACCTCCTTCATAGTTTCACTGACTCTCCCCTATCCATAGGTAACTGTTCTTTGCCATGCAGGAAATCCACAGAATTCTTTCATTACACACTTCTGGTGTTTCTAGTGTGGTGACAGTGGTTCCATCCAAACTCAACAAAATGGTTTTCCAAAAAAAAAAAAATTGGTTCTTTTGCATTCTTGACAGGGCAGTCCCTAGCACATAAGACTTTGACGAAATACCTTCCATAATGAATCAAATCCCATACTTTCCTTATCATATATTTTTAAAGCTTTCATTCACTGAAGGACTACCATTACCCATGTTCACCTGTCTATAGAAAACAGACCTCGCTGATGAGTGCCACACTACCAATGATTTCTTAGAAGAGCTCTACTTTTGATAAAACAAAAACTTTGCGCATAGGGCATTCTAAAAAGAATTCACTCAACAAATTTCAGAGTTGGGGAATATCATGAGCATCAAAGATACAAATAAAAATGATCACTAGGTCACAAATAGCACAAACTAGCGTGGCCTGTCAGAAACGACATAAGAGGGAATGAGAAAGAACAGGAAAAAGGTGATTCTGCATGATAAACCTATAATATTGATACTAAGCAAAACTGTGCAACAGGTTGGCTGTTTCTGGGACAGAAAGCAAGAGAAGACAACCCTCGGTGTCACTTGTCTTCCTAGAGATTCGGATCCACCCAAGCATCGGCCAAGCAAACCTCTGCTTTTTGTCAGTCTTGCAGCATTTTGGAACTCACTCTTGCTAATCTGAATACCACTATTCAAGTTCAGGCTGGCCTTGTAAGGTCAGGAAAAAGTGCGTTTCCAAGTCCATGAGAGAGAGGAAATGATTTAAAAATCCAGACACTGAAAGCAGAGAACCAACCAAACTTTGCTACGCAGCGGGGGGACGGAGAGAAGTGGTGGTGCAGAAAGCACTCAGCACCTCCCTTCTGCCTCCTGGAGTGGAACCAGGGAAGGGGCCTTCTTGGGGAAACCTAGGGCGGGGGGGGGGGGGACCTGACCTAAGAAGTGACTCCGGACTACTGAAGGGAGGCAGGATCCCGGCCCTGATCTCTGAGGAAAGAGCTCTTAATCTCGGGCGCCACCCTCCTCTCTGGGGGCACCCTCCCCTTGGTGGGGGGGAGGTGGAGGAAGGTGGAGGGGAGCACCCCTGACCCTCCAGGTACTCTCCTTTCTGGGGAGGGCCCCTATTCCCAGAGAGACCTTACTTTCTGGGGTAACAGCTGCTCTGAGGTGACACTTGCCATCCTCGCTGGGAGGACACCGGGCCCTAATTTCGAGAACATGGCCTAGGAAGTGGGCCTGGCAGGGTCATTCTCTCCCAGTCAAGAGTCGCAGGCCCCTCAGCGACCACGCCAAAGAAAAGGCGCCATCAGAAGCACGTACCTTGGCGGAGGGCACCACAGTGATCTTTTTGAAGTTGTAGTGCGCCATGCTGGCGGCCAGACACGAGGGACAGCACACGAGAAGGCGTGAGCGAGACTTCCGCGGAGCCGGCGGGACTTCCGCCGCTGGGGCGTCACTTCTGTACGTCCCCTGCGTTCCCCGGCACGGCAACACCGCCCGCAGCGCCCCCGCGCGGCTTGGAGGTCCCCAGGAACGGGGCGCTCAGGGTGAGGGAGGACGGTCGCGAGCGGGAGGCGCGAGCGCTGCATCCCCACCAGCTAAAGACCGGCCCTCCGAGACCCACCAGGCCACTATGGAGCTCTGTGCACCCGTGATGGTCACCCGGGTCCGCCCCTGCCGCTCGAGACCCCTCACCCGGCGGAATCCTGGGATTGAGTGATGTGAGGGGTCGGGGGTTCTGGGAACCCGAGAATTCCGGGAGTTGAGAGGGCCAAGGGTCTTGATATTTAGAGGGATGGGTGTCTCGGGACCTGGGGGTATAGCTGGAGAACCCGGAAGATCTGGGAGCTGGGGGTTCCCGGCTCTTTTGTCGGACGTTTTGGGGGGACATCAGGACTGTGTCTCGGGGAATCCGTGAGGTTGGGGATCTTAGGGGTTTACAGAATTCCCTAGATTGGGGCTTCTCGGGGAGGGCGTGCTGGAAGTTGGGAGTTTGAGTGAGCAAGGGATCTCAAAGGTCCTGGGGGGGATCCAGGACCTCAGGATAATTGCGGTTCGAGGTTTGGGAGAACAGGGGTATTCGGGAGTTGGAGGATTCAGGAAGTAGGGTGTTGAGGGACTAGGGTCTCTCTGGCTGGTGTTTTCGGGACTCGGGAGAGGGGGGGTCCTTGGGTCGTGCGCCTGCGCGTGGTTCTGTGTTGGCTGGTGGCTCGCTAGCCAATCCGGTGAAACCTCAGTAAAACGGGGGAAGTGCTAGAAAACCTGCGAACTCCGCCCATCTGGCCTCTCTATCCTTGTTGACTTGCTGCCAAAACTACTCCGGGCCCTGACCTGTGACCTTCAGTTCTTTCTACCTCTTAAACCCTCCTCTGTTTCAGTGATGTCAGCGATTCTGGCTCTTGATACCTATGATTTGGAGGTGTATGCTGACGCACTTCCTGGCTGTCTATAATGAGCTAGTCCTCCTGAGTTTGCCTTTTCTTTGCTGCCCTTCTTAAGTCTTTTTGGGTGACTATAATGAAATGGACTTTTCCAATCAGTTGTGAAATGCTGCATGACTCCAGATTCGTCAAACCCAGCATTTCTGAAAATGCAGATCTTTCCACCCACTGCAAGTAAATCCATCCTCACCACTCTGTGTCAGAGAACAGCCCAACCCTGAGAAGTGAGCTTCTAGAACAGTGTCAAAGAGCATAGGTGGGGTGAAGCCAGAGAAGACTTCCAAAAGACAGTTAATTCTGTGAACAAAGGGCAAGAGGAGAGGCCTGCTGTAAAACAATGGGTGTATTAGGAGAGCTGAGGACGTGGCCTGTGGTGTCTGCATGAGGAGTAGCTGACAGGGAGGAGCATTTGGAGACTTGCTATTCTCTTTTCTCTAAAGGAGTGACGAACGTCTCCCAGGGTAAACCTTATGTGTGTGTCGGGCAATAGCCAAGTAGCTAACCACAGATAGATTCATTTCATTCCCACAACACCCCTGTGAACTAGACACAACTCCACTGGCTCATGGTCACACAATCACTTGGTGGCAGAGCTGAGTTGAACATAGGGGACCTGGCTCAGTGGCTGTGCTGTAAGTCAGCAGCTATTCTGCTTCTCAACAATCTTGAATCCCCTTCATTTTCACAAGTCCGTTTAACTAGGCTTATCCTTAAATGAAGATGTCTTATATGCTCCCAACATTCCAATGATTGTTATTTCTTGATTATCCCTGTCTCTTATGAAGTGTATCCCCGTTTTGTGGGGTGTAGTTAGATAGGCATATTTCTACCAGTATGTGGCTCTTCTACCAGGGATCATCAGAATTCACTGCCACATCATTGACTAGACTACAGGCAGCTCTGCACACCACTTCCAAAGTTGTAAACAATGCTGCCCCTCACCCCTCTTTTTTTCAGGTAACTGAACATTCCCTCAACCCCCTTCCCTCCTTATTTTATGCCAGTATTTAGAGAGATGAGCCTTGGTATTCTCTGCTGCAGAGACAACTATCCTTTCACTAGCTCTTAACTCTAGGCAATAATTAAACAACTTCTTAAATCTGTGTAGGACTTTTAACAGCTACAAACTACTTTTATTATTTAGTATCTTAATAATAATAACTACAACTTTCTTCAGTGGTGCTAAACTGGTACACGAGGCTTGCTTCTCCCTGAGGTTACACAGCTCTTTGAGTCGCCCACAAAATTACATCAGCTAAGGACCAGTATCACGTCAGCTTCCCTGAAAACATCATTCAAGTAGGAAATATCTGGGGGTGGGGTAGAACTTTCTTTAAATTATAACTATCAAATGGTAACACGTATTTTATGAAGAAAAATGGAAGTCTACTTGTTCATATAGAAGAATTATTAAAAGGAGCCAAAAAGAGAAAGTGGCAGTGTCAGAATAAATATGAGTGACTACAACTCAACGAAAAACTGACAGTTCTTTGGTATTTTTAGTATTTTCTGAAGAATTTTAAATAATGTTTGCCTATGACACTTAATAAACATTTGCCACAGAGAAGCATCAAAAGCCTGGAGTTCACATGCTACCGCTGCAGCATCCTGCCCATCCTGTACAAAACCAGGTAGTCAGGCCCACTTCCAGAGGAGTGCTTCTGGAGCTGAGTTAAGACGTGTGGGAAAGTATAAGGAATAAAAGATGTTAATGTCGTGACTATCAATGCAATTTTATATGAAGACTTTATTGAGTAACAAGATCACTACCTGAGTATAGCCATAAAGTGTATTACATGCTATCTTTAAGAATTCTCAGTCCCCAGGCGTGATAAAACCATTCCTTAGAGTGGCTGTGCAGAACCTGAGTGACTTGCTAGCTTATCAAGCAGTAAGACCTAGCACATGATCAGAAGAGACAGACACCCTCTTCTCACTGTGCACCTGTGGCTATCAAGCTGGAATGGCGGACGGCATGGGACAAGACCACCCACCGAGCCCCTTCTCATTGCTCAGCCTGTCTGCAAGTGCACTGGCACCACCATTTATCACAGACCAGTACCATGCTCGCATGAAGGAGCACTGGCCCCCACCCATTGCATATTGAGGTACCTGGGTATCCTTCTTTTTCTATACTTGCCCTGATGGGTGGCTTCCAGGGCAGGTATATGTACCACTCTAGTAAAAGCAAGCCGAGTTTATCCATACATATTTGGTCTCCCCTGGGGACTTTTTTGAGGAGAATTGGAAAAAGTTGTAGCAGAAGGCAGATCACCAGCTCTGCTACTGAGGTGATCACTAGGCCTCCCAAGAGTATGCACAGTAGATGGAGGGACGCACACCTGTCTGTGGAACAGGACTGGAGAACACTGCAGGGCACTTAGAGCTTCACAGAGCATATGCAGTTTTCAGACTATTTTGTGGAATTGGTCTCCTATTTTACCTTTTTGTTAATATAATTCTGATTGATGGAAAATATATCCTGCAGCTCAATCTGTGTCAAGGACATGTGACGTAACTTCTTACTTGAAAGGATTCTTTGTGGGTATGAGTGGCTAGGCCATATGGTAGCTATCCCCTTTTAGCTGTCCTGGAATTTAGGGCTGCTCCAGTGAGTATGTATACCATTGGCCTGGGTTCCCCCAAACTGGTTCTGGCTGACTCCTTTAGTCTGGATTATGTCCAGCTTGAGCTATTGTCTAGATGTTCCCTAAGCCCATCTTCATTCCCAGATGGACAGTCAGCTCTTCCAGCGCAGGGGTGATATTTTACTCTCTTGCCATTCCTCACAGCAACCAGACTGACCTGAACTTCTATGAAAGACCAGTGTGTAACCTGACTGAAAGTTGGCTTAAGTAGATTCCTGCTAGGGTGGGGATGGTGACATTTGAAACCTGGCATAGGTTCTGCTCAGATGATCCTGCTGACCACATGCCTGCTGCACTGATTCTAGTTTAGTGACAATGATAGAGCCTGGGGCTTCTGTCACCTGGAGTGATGAGAGACAGAGGCTGGGCTGTGCCTGAAGCAAATCCTCCCCAAAGGATCCTGCCAACAGCAAGCCCTTTGCTGATCTCCCTACTTCATATGTATATAAGTGAAAACCACAGAGGAGCCCACAGCCAGGCAGGATGATGCTGCACCACCTGTCAGCATTGCTCCTGACTACAGGCGCCTGGTCTGTACACCTGTGGCCTCTGGGCAGGAGGCAATGCACTGCATGTGGGACCAGGGCAACAGAAGCCCAGACGATGACAGTTTTTATATATGAGTGTTGATCAGAGCTGAAGTGTTTGCTTAGGCAAAGAACTCACTGAAGATACAGATGAGGTTCTACTCTCATACTTTCATACTCTTAAAATATGACACTAAAATCTCAAGAGAAGGGATTCCATTTTCATGACATGACTGGGTATCTTAGTCGACTTGAGCCTCCGTAACTAAACACCACAAACCAGGAACTTAAACAACAGAAGTTTATTTCTCTCAAGAGTAGAGTCAGGGAGTCTGAAATTAGGTGTCACAGAGCTGCTGCTTGATGAGAGCTGCTGCAGGTTGCAGCTTCTTGTTCTTCCTTGGTATAGAGACTTTTTGGTGTCTCCTCCCCTTTCCATATGGGCACATAATCCCATTATGGAGGCTCCACCCTCAATTACTGCTAATGGAATCCCAAAGACCTCACCTTTAATAGCACATTGAGGATTGGGCTTCAACATACACATTTTGAGGCGAGGAAGGGTGAGGGAAACCAACAGTCACTCCATAATGTTTAGCAAGTGGCTTTTGTCAATGTAACCACTAGATTTATACAGTGACTGTCACATCTGTGAGTCTTGTTGAATTTTAAAAGTGGCAGATGTTCTTTTACCTACACAGGTATGAATCTAATAGGTGTATGTCCTTGTTCTGCAGATATGGCAGGGATCACTCAAAAGGAGTGAGCTAATATTCTTTTCGGAGATGCATAATGGTTT